TTTAAGTATTTCAGACTTTTTGTTTAATGTTTTGTTGAAGTTAATTGTTTAGTACTAGTATTATATTATATTTATTACATTTATAGTTTGTACTTAATACACAGTAAATTGTAGGTAGTATATGTTTATGGTACACTGTACCGCGTACCGAACTAGCGTACCGAAGAAGCCTACCCCCTTGCGTATCGTTTTTTTTATATTAGCGAACCGCGTTCTCGTTTTCGTACCGTGTACCGATGTGTACCGCGATCCATGTGACTATGCTCTGAACAAGCTTCAGCTCAACTGGCTCATTTTGATAACCCTAGTAACAACTCTTCCTTCAGAGGCAGAGGCTGAGGAGGCTTTCATAGAGGCAGGGGCGGACGTTCAGGTGGTAGAAACCCAATAACCTGTCAAGTGTGTGGCAAAAATGGCCACAATGCACTTGTTTGCTATCACAGGTACAATCCTGCTTATGCTGCACCTAACCCTAACCCTCAAGCTAATCAAGTACCTCACATTCCCCATCAGTCACAACCCTATCAGCCTCTATCACACTTTCCCTTTTCAGCACCTAATCCATATCCTAATCACAATCAACAAGCCTCCACACCAGGGCATCCACCCAATCCTTCTGTAATACCACCTTTCAACTGGGGGTTATATTCCTCTCCTTACACCTCTACCCCTACCAATGTTACTCCTACTGCAGCTTGGGCTTCTGCAAACACTTCTATTCTTGGACCTGCACCTCACACTCAGAATTGGTTCCCAGACTCAGGTGCCACACACCATGTCACTGCTGATCCTCTCAATCTGCAACATAGTGAGCCTATTGTTTCAACTGATAAGCTTTAAAAAGAAGCAGAATCAGTTCCAAACACCCCCTTAGTTGTCCTTTTTTCAGTTTCAATGTTCGAACAAGATAATGTGTTGTTCACTATGAAGGTGGTTTTAAGAATGGGCATATCAGATTAATGTGTGTTGTGCTTTAATTTTTTTTTTATAATCATTAAACACAAATTGGTGTGGGTTATGTATTTCGTGTAGCACGAAATTAGTTGTACTTTTTTTCAATTTTCAATGTTTGAACAAGATAATCAATTATGTTTTCCTATGTAAACGTTGTAATCAATTAAGCTTAAGCTCCCAATGTAAATGAGTAAGGATGGGCCAGATTCGGGAGATCTTGAAGCCATTTTCTCTACAAATGCCTGTTAAGCTTATCATTGGTTTAATTTTTGCAGTGTAAGTTTGATTATTTGGGATTGTGTTTAATATTATTGTGGGTTATGCGTTGGTTTATAGGTTGTGGATGTGTGCGATGAGCACAGGGCAGATGAATTTAAGAGTTGTCTTATTGGATAAAGGTGAGTGTTGTGGTTTACATATTTATTCTATCATAATTAGTCACAAACTTATCGCTAGCCAAAGTTATGTACCTTTGCATCATAAAATTAGGTGTGATATCTTCAGTTAAAGGCTGAACACACTATTTTGTCCCTACTAAGCCCAGCACCCCCGCTACAGCGACCAATGTGTCACGGTGACCTAATTGACCAATGCATATCAGTGACCTATGTCAAAGTGACTATATTCCCGGTGACTGATTACACATTGACTAGATACCCCAGTTACCAATGCCACAGTTACCAACACTTGGTGTCCCAGTTCTTGTGACATCCCGACTATAGTGAAAAACGCCACCAGACCACCCTGATCTCGGTGAGCAACTCGACCCCAGTGACCAACGCAATATTGACATCCCGCCACTGACCACGGCCGCCACGCCAATATCAATACCCCTAGTTCCCAATCCACTCCGCAGTCTTTCCACCCCCAACGACCGCCTCTCCTGCCCCCGCACCACACCCCAGCCCTGCCTCCTGCCCCACCAGTCCACCGCACCCCAGCCCACCGTAATTTATTGGATTTTTTATTTTCGCAGCGCAAGTTTGATTATTTGGGAGTGTGTTAATAACTTAATATTAATTTGGGTTGTGCTTTGGTTTACAGAGGTTACGTAGGCGTATAATGAGCACAGGGCAGATGGATCTATGAGTTGTCTTATTGGGCTAAGGTGAGTGTTGTACTTTACGTTTTTATTTGTATCATAAATGATCAGATTGATTGTTAGCATTAGTATGTATTTTTCTCATCAAAAAATTAGTTGTGCTATTTTCAGTTAGGTGGTGTGATGCTAAGGTTTTAACTATAATGAGGGAGGCTCAACTATAAAAAATTGCTTTGACTTCTTTAAAACGGGATCAAACATTAAATTAATATTTGGTGATACATTTAGTTGAGTTAGTAAAAATATCCTGAAAAGGTTGTCCCCGAGTCAACATTTTTTTTATGATCAGTAATCACAAATTTATGTGGGTTATGCATTTCGTGTAGTATGAAATTCGGTGGACTTGATTTTTGAACTTGGTAATCAATTAAGTTTAAGCGCCCAATATGAATGAGTAAGGATGGGCTAGTCTTGGGAGTTGGGAGGCTTAATTATAAATAATTTCTTTGACTTTTTTGAAATGGAATCAAACATTAAATTTATATTTGGTGGTGGTCTACTTGAGTGAGTAAAAAGAGCCTAAAAATGTTGTTCCCAAGCCTACATAAACTGTGTGTCATTAAGGATTGCGTAGCGTCAAAACTGTTAGAAACAAGATTTATATACCAATGTTTGTTTAGTTTATTGTATGTGTCATATTTGCAGCGTAAGTTTGATTATTTTATTGTATTTAAAATTAATTCGGATTGTGTTGGTTTACATAGGTCACGGAGGAATCAGATGGGGCACCATGAAGGTGGTTTTAAGAATGGGTTTATCGGAGTAAGGTGAGTGTTGTGCTTTAATTTTATTTTTAACAATCATTAATCTCAATTATTTTCCAGGAGCTTAGTCTGTCCCCATTGTTGTACGAGCTTTGTGCAATGTTGGGGCCTGGTAATCCCCTGGTTCAACGTTGCTCCGAGGTATGTCACTGGCAAATTGAGTGTTGTCATTTTAGATATTTTCGCTATTCCTGTGTCCACCATCCTCAGCTTCTTGCTCACTGTAACCTTGCATTTGTCTAGGTTGACAACAGTTTGTTGAGGTGCTTGAGAGAGGACGCTCCACCATTGAGAGACGGTAGGACGTCATCCGCCCGCCCGCCCACGCACGTATGCACACACGCCCGCGCACACACACACACACGCTCACACGCCCGCATGCACATGCACGCCCGCACGCACGCACGCTCGCATGCCCACATGCACGCCCACACCCACACACACACCCACGCCCGGCTGCCTGCTCGCTTGCACGCACTCCCGCACGCCCACACACACCGACACACACACACACGCCCATGCCCACGCCCACGCCCACGCACGCACACACACGCCCACACACACACGCACACACCCACACACACACACACACCTGCACGCACGCCCACCACACGTGCACACACACACCCACCACACCCACACCCACACACGAACGCACGCACGCACGCCCCACTCGCCCGCCCACCCACGCACACACGCCCCCCATCCACACACCCACACACACCCACGCCCGGCTGCCTGCTCGCACGCACACCCGCACGCACGCACGCCCACACACACACATACCCATACACACACGCGCAGACACACACCCTGCCCACCCACACACATAACTATTTATGTATTTATCCATTTAACTATTTGTCTATTTATCTATTTAACTATTTATCTATATCTATATATCTATTCACCTATTTAACAATTTATCAATTTATCTAGTTATATATCTATTAAATAACTGCACGTCCACACTCACACACGCACGCACGCCCACACGCCCGCACACAGACACACCCACGCACGCTTGCACTCACGCACGCATGCACACCTGCACGCACGCCCCCACCCTCACACCCACACACACACACACACACACACACACACACACACGCACGCGCCCCGCCCACGCTCGCACACACGCACGCAGGCACACCCCCCCCGCACACATACACACACACGCACCGCCCGCACGCACATGCACGCACGCACATACGCACGCCCCCACACGCCCCCACCCTCACAGCCACACACACCCACGCTCGGTCACCCGGCCGCCCGCACGCACGCACACCCGCCCGCCTGCACGTTCACACTCACACACGCACGCACACACACGCCCACACGCCCGCCCACACGCCCGCACACACACACACACCCACGCACGCTCGCACTCCCGCACGCACATGCACGCACGCCTACACGCACGCCCCCACCCACACACCCTCACACACCCACGCCCGCTCGCACGCACGCACGCTCGCATGCCCACATGCACGCCTACACCCACACACCCACACACACTCACGCCCGGCTGCCCGCACGCACGCACACGCACACGTGCACACACACGCATGCACTCTTGCACCCACGCACTATTTAACTATTTATCTATTTTAGTCATTTAACTATTTATCTATTTATATATGTATCTATTTAACTATTTATTTATTTAGATATTTAACTATTTATTTATTTATCTATTTTACTATTTATCTATTTAACTATTTATCTATTTACCTATTTATCAATTTATTTATTTAATTATTTATCTAGTTATCCATTTAACTATTTGTCTATTTGTCTATATATATTTACCTATTTAACGATTTACCTATTTATTTAGATAATTATTTATCTAGTTAACTATTTATCCATTTATTTATCTATTTATTTATTTATCTATTCAGCCCTACACGCCCGCACGCCCGCACGCCCGCACGCCCGCACATGCACGCACGCACACACGCATGCCCACACACCCACCCACACCCATGCCCGGCCGCACGCACGCACGCACACCTGCCCGCCTTGCCTGCACGTCTACACTCACACACGCACGCACACACGCCCCCACCCACACACCCACACCCCCTTCCGGCCGCCCGCCCGCACACACACACACACACACATCCACGCCCGCTCGCACGCCCGCACACACGCACGCACGCTCGCATGCCCACATGCACGCCTACACCCACACACCCACACACACTCACGCCCGGCTGCCCGCACGCACGCACACGCACACGTGCACACACACGCATGCACTCTTGCACCCACGCACTATTTAACTATTTATCTATTTTAGTCATTTAACTATTTATCTATTTATATATGTATCTATTTAACTATTTATTTATTTAGATATTTAACTATTTATCTATTTAACTATTTATCTATTAACCCAATTATCTATATATCTATTTATTTATTTATTTATTTATATATTTAACTATTTATGTATTTATCCATTTAACTATTTGTCTATTTATCTATTTAACTATTTATCTATTTATCTATATCTATATATCTATTTACCTATTTAACGATTTATCAATTTATCTAGTTATATATCTATTAAATAATTGCACGTCCACACGCACGCACGCACGCACGCCCACACGCCCGCACACACACCCACGCACGCTCGCACTCCCGCACGCACATGCACGCACGCATGCAGTCCTACACGCACGCCCCCACCCTCACACCCACACACACACACACGCACGCACGCGCCCGCCCGCCCGCTTACGCTCGCACACACGCACGCAGGCACACACCCCCGCACACATACACACACACGCACCGCCCGCCCACACACGCCCACACACGCCCACACACACACGCCCATGCCCACGCCAACACGCACACACACCCACACACACACACACACCTGCACGCACGCACGCCCAACACACGTGCACACACACACCCACCACACCCAGACCCACACACCCACGCACGCCCGCCCACACACAAGCCCACTCTCCCGCACACACACGAACGCACGCACGCACGCCCACTCGCCCCGCCCACGCATAAGCCCACTCTCCCGCACACACACGAACGCACGCACGCACGCCCACTCGCCCGCACACACGCCCTGCCCACCCACGTCCGCACGTGCACACACACACGCCCACATGCACGCCCCCAGCCACCCCCACCCACACACACCACCACACGCCCACAACCACACACCCACACACACCCATGCACGCCCGTCTGCCCGCACGCCCAACCACAACCACACCGCCCACACACACATGCCCATGCCCACACACACACACACACCCTCCCGCCCGCACGCACGCCCACACACACCGACACACACGCACACACACGCCCACGCACGCACACACGCCCACGCACACACCCCTACTCGCCCGCACACACACACACACACACAAGCACACACACACACACACACACACACACACACACACGCGCGCACGCCCACCACACGTGCACACACACACACCCGCACCCACGCACTATTTAACTATTTATCTATTTAGTTATTTAACTATTTATCTATTTATATATGTATCTTTTTAACGATTTATCTATTTGGTTATTTAACTATTTATCTATTTATCTATTTAACTATTTATCTATTTAACTATTTATCTATTAACCCATTTATCTATATATCTATTTATTTGTTTATTTATTTATATATTTAACTATTTATGTATTTATCCATTTAACTATTTGTCTATTTATCTATTTATCTATTTATCTATATCTATATATCTATTTACCTATTTAACGATTTATCAATTTATCTAGTTATATATCTATTAAATAATTGCACGTCCACACGCACGCACGCACGCACGCCCGCACGCCCGCACACACACCCACGCACGCTCGCACTCCCGCACGCACATGCACGCACGCATGCAGTCCTACACGCACGCACCCACCCTCACACCACACACACACACACGCACGCACGCGCCCGCCCGCCCGCCCGCTTACGCTCGCACACACGCACGCAGGCACACACCCCCGCACACATACACACACACGCACCGCCCGCCCACACACGCCCACACACACACGCCCATGCCCACGCCAACACGCACACACACCCACACACACACACACACCTGCACGCACGCACGCCCAACACACGTGCACACACACACACACCACACCCAGACCCACACACCCACGCACGCCCGCCCACACACAAGCCCACTCTCCCGCACACACACGAACGCACGCACGCACGCCCACATCGCCCGCCCACGCATAAGCCCACTCTCCCGCACACACACGAACGCACGCACGCACGCCCACTCGCCCGCACACACGCCCTGCCCACCCACGTCCGCACGTGCACACACGCATGCCCACATGCACGCCCCCAGCCACCCCCACCCACACACGCCACCACACGCCCACAACCACACACCCACACACACCCATGCACGCCCGTCTGCCCGCACGCCCAACCACAACCACACCGCCCACACACACATGCCCATGCCCACACACACACACACACACACCCTCCCGCCCGCACGCACGCCCACACACACCGACACACACGCACACACACGCCCACCGCACGCACACACGCCCACGCACACACCCCTACTCGCCCGCACACACACACACACACACACACACACACACACACACACACACACACACACACACACACACACACACACACACACACACACACACACACACACACACACACACACACACACACACACACACACACACACACACACACACACACACACACACACACACACACACACACACACACACACACACACAAGCACACACACCCACCCACACACACACACACACGCATGCACACACGCCCACGCACACACCCCTACTCGCCCACACACACACACACACACACACACACACACAAGCACACACACCCACCCACTCACACACACACACACGCACACACCCCTACTCGCCCGCACACACACACACACACACACACACACACACACACACACACACACACACAAGCGCACACACCCACCCACACACACACACACACATGCACGCCCTTTTGCCCGCCCGCCCACGCACGCACACACGCCTGGCACACACACACACGACCCCACAGGCACACTCGCTCGTCCGCACGCACACACGCACGCACGCACACGCGCACACGCACGCATGCACTCTTGCACCCACGCACTATTTATCTATTTAGTTATTTAACTATTTATCTATTTATATATCCATCTATTTATCTATTTAGTTATTTAACTATTTATCTATTTAACTATTTATCTATTTATCTATTTACCTATTTATCTATTTATCTATTTATTTATTTATTTATATATTTAACTATGTATGTATTTATCCATTTAACTATTTGCCTATTTATCTATTTAACTAATTTTCTATTTATCTATATCTATATATCTATATAACTATTTAACGATTTATCAATTTATTTAGATAAGTATTTATCTAGTTAACTATTTATCCATTTATCTATTTATTTATCTATTCAGCCACACACGCCCGCCCGCTCGCCCACGCGCACACGCATACGCCCTCCCACGCACGCACGCACGCACGCCCACAGACGCACGCACACATGCACGCCCCCACCCACATCCACACACCCACACACACCCACGCACGCCCGCCTGCCCGCCTACGCACGCCCGCACGCACCCCCACCCACACACACCCATGCCCGGCTGCCCGCACGCACGCACTCTTGCTCCCACGCACGCACGCACACCCGCCCGCCCGCCTGCACGTCCACACTCACACATGCACGCACGCCCACAGACGCACGCACGTGCACACACACAGACCCACGTATGCTCGCACGACCGCACGCACATTGATAAGTTTGATTTGTTCATATATTTTCACTCACTTTTTATAGCGTTTCTTGTTAAAACCAGGGGAAATTGATACATTTTTCTGCGTTTTTGTTGCATTTTGGTTAATGTTTAAAATTAGTGTTAAAATTTACATTTTTGAGTGATTTGTGTTTAATTCAAGTGTTGGATTGATTTTATGCCTTTTTTTTCTTCTTATTTGTGTTATCTATATTTTGTGATTTGTCAAATTTTAGCTTTATATTAATATCTTAACAATTGAATTAATGAAAAAAACTATAAAAAAAAAAGGGCAAAACCCACAAAAATTGCAGCAAGGCTGCGTTACAAAAAAAACAGCAAATAAAAGAAAACAAAAATAAAGAAAATGAAAAGAAAACAACGAAAAGAAACAAAGCAGCACAAAAAGAAAACAAAAAGAAACAAGGCTTGACAGCCAACAAAACACCCAAAAGAAAGAGGGGATTGACATCAATAGCACTGCAGCAGCACATGGCTGCGGGTTATGTCAAACAAAAGAACAAAAACGGAAATGAGGGGGCAGCTTCAGTCACTCTGGATCAGCAACAACCATAGAAAAAAGGAAGATAAAATAGTGAGAGCAACCAGCCAAAATAAAAAAACTCCGCCGCAAGTAGAAAAGTAACGCAGATGGGATAGTCAGTCCACTGCTCGGAGGATCTGCTGGGGAGAATGAGCTATTGGTCGCAGGGCAAGGGCAGAGCAACTGGCCGGAAGATCTAAAACCATAACAGCGGCAGTCGGCAGAGAAACCAGGAAAAAGAGCAGCTTTCTGTAAAGTGTAACACCAACATTCGGTTAATCTTTTGTCAATCTTTCTATTTCAATTTCTATCTTTAATGTTTTATGTTAGATTTCTTTCTTATAATCATAGTTAAATAAGCTTATGAACTTGTTCTTGAATTAAGTATTAGTTTCAACTTTCAATATCTTCCAGTTCACTCTTGAATTACTGATTACTAGTTCGAATTTCAGTTTTAATTAAATGCATGGATTATGTCATTGTTTTTATTAATTATTAATTGTGTTAGTCTTTTGATGAGCATGTTAGGCTAAATTTCCATAGGGTTTGGATTTGGATAGAATTAAGGTTAATGGGTGTTCTTAAATATTGAATTAAATTCAGGAATTTTCTCCAATTTTTAGGACTAATTGTTTGAGATGAAATTGAATGAGTAATTTGTGAAATTGATCACTTCACTTGTGAATGTTTGGAAAATTAATTCTTCCTTGTCTATGAGTGTAGAATTAATTTAGCTCACATCTCATACACCCTAAACTAAGCCTAGAAATAGGACATGTTAGGGGAATTAAATTTAAATTCTTGTCTATGAGAATTAATGTCACTATTCTTAGGTTGGAGAAATGATCCCATTTTTGTTCATAATTTAAGACATCCAAGATCCTTGATTAATTTCAAATCTAAACCCCACTTTTAATTAGTTAATTTATTGTTACTAGTCACATTTTGTTTACTTTTTAGTATTTTATTTTCGAAACTATACTCATCCACATGTTTGCTAGTTTAATATTTTAATTAGTTAAATTTCTCTCTCAATTTATTTTGCATGTTCACTAGTTTTAGTTCACTCAATAATGCCATTTAATTAAATTCACAGTTATTACTTTTATTGTTTATTTTTATTTGGTTAATCATTATCACAATCTAATCGTTTGAGAAAGCTTGCAATGACCGATATTGAAACCAACACTTCCCTCCGCCACTCCTCAGGGACACGATACTCGGGGAAAACCGAAAGGTTAGACTCCGTTTTACTACAACGCCGCGAAAGCGGTTATCAAATGGCGCCGTTGCCGGGGACGGGACGGCAGGCGGCCAGATGCCGACGGAAGGCGGCCGCCTGCTTGGGCGCCTACGGGAAAATTTGTGCTATAAATAGCAGGCTTTTTCTACATCTCAAACACACCACTTCCAACCCTAAATCAGTTCTAAAAAGGCTCCTTCTTCTCCATTTTCGAGCTCCAAGAATATTTTGGGAGAGAGAAACTTCAATCCTCCATATCTTCTTCATTTTAGCTCCAAATTGTAAGTTCTTTATATGTATTTTCATCTTCTCAACGTGTAGAATCTGAATCTGTGCTTTGTTTCTTCGATCTGTTCTTCGAAGATTTCCAGATTATTTTTCAAGTATTTCGCAATTCCTTCCAAAAATTAAATAAAATAGTTATTGATGTTGAATTCATTCCAATTAATTATATAGTTGTTCACTAGCCTCAAGGTAGTTATTTATCTGAAGAAATTTATTTTTCACGAAGTAGAAGTAATTTTTAATTAATTTCGGTAATTACTTGATATTATTGCTTAAATTAAAATAAATACTCAAAAAAGGAAAAAAAATTAGTTCGGCCTTAATTTCAGTTTAATTCATTGTTATATCACTACCAGTAGTTAAAATAAAATTTATAACGAAGTTAGAGTATTTTTAGTTGCTTTTTGCATTTTCTAGTTAAAATTGGGAAAATCATCAATTAGTTGCTAAAATTGGATCTTAAATTTATTAATTAGTCAAAACTTCCAGAAAATTATATTTTAGTTCCTATAAGTTTATTGTCCCAGAATATAAGTTTTGTTTGAATTTTTTGCTATCATCCATGTTTAATTCCTTGTTAATGTTGAATATACTCATTATATTGTTAGTTGTAAAAATGATGTTTAGTAGCTAAATTTGCTTTGGGCATGAATTGAGAAAAGGAATATGGATTGACTTGTTGACCTAAAATTAGGGGTTAAAATTAATAAATTGGACTAGTTGTTTAAAATGATGAAATAGTAATTAATAATAGTTAGCCATTTTCATTAATTAAATTCTTGGAAAATTAATTCTAACTTGTCTATGAGATTAGAAATTAATTTAAGCCAACCATATTTGAGCACATTAATAAGGCCTAGAAATAGGATAATTTAATGAAAAGGATTTACATCTTGTCTATGAGAAATAAAATTCAGTTGCTAAAATAAAGAGTTTAACTAGTTAATGAATTTGGCTATTTTTATTAATTAAAATATTGGAAAATTATTTCTACCTTGTCTATGGGTTTAGAATATAATTTAAGCCAACCATTTTAAATACATTAATGACACCTAGAAATAGGATAAATTAATGAAGGTAGTTTCTATTCTTGTCTATGAGGAAAGAAATTATTAGTCCAAACCTTCGTCTTAATTTCCCTAATTAAGAGGTCCAAGAACATATCCATTTCTAATTACTCAATTCATTGCCCTTATTTGCATCAATCTTTAGAACACTTAATTTTTGAACATTAATCTTTAAATTGAACCTAGCTCTTACTTATAAACTGGCATAATTTAGAACACAACCACTTTCCTATATTGAAAAAGCTTCCAACGATTAGCGATAGCCCGTGACTAAAATTAAATTAAGAAACTTCTCCGCCATTCCTCAAGAGACACGATACTCGGGAAAAAACCGAAAAGGTTAGACTCCGTTTTACTACAACGCCGCGAAAGCGGCTATCACACATGCAACGCACACACGCCCCCCACACACACGCCCACACACCCACACCCCCTCCCGCCCCCGCCCCGCACGCACGCCCACACACACCGACACACACACACCACACGCCCATGCCCACGCCCCCCCCACACACAGCACACACACGCCCACCGCACACACACGCCCCCACCTCTCCCGCGCACACACACGAACGCACGCACGCACACACGCCCCCCTCGCCCTAGCCGCCCACGCACGCACACACGCCCGCACTCACACCGCCCGCGCCGCGCACACACGCACGCCCCCCACACACCCCCCACCCACACACCCACACACCCACGCCCGCCCGGCTGCCTGCCCCGCTCGCACGCACGCACACCCGCCCGCCCGCCCGCACGCCCACACACACCCCTCACACACACACACGCCCACGCAGCCCACACACACACACGCACACGCCCACCGCACACACACACACACGCCCACAGCACACCCCCACGCACACGGCCCCCCACTCGCCCCGCACACACACACACACACGCCCACACACACACCACCACACGCCCACACACGCCACCCACACACACCCACGCACGCCCGCGCACTCCGGCCGCACGCACGCACGCACCGCACACACATGCCCCCCACCCACACACACCCACGCCCCGGCCCCGGCCCGGCCGCACACGCCCTCACACCTGCGCACCGCCGCCCCGCCCGCCCCCTCCGCTCGCACACACGCATGCAGGCACACACCTCCCGCACACATACACACACACGCACCGCCCGCAACGCACATGCACGCACGCACATACGCAGGCACGCCCATCCACGCACGCCCCCCAACACGCCCCCCACCCTCACAGCCACACACACACCCACGCTCGGCTCTCGCCCCCCCGGACCGCCCCGCCACCGGCCGCTGCCCGCAACGCACGCACACGCACGCACACCCGCCTGCCTGCCTGCACGTCCACACTCACACACGCACGCACACACGCACACGCCCACCAGACGTCCGCACACACACACACACACACACACACAGCACACACACACACACACACACACACACACACACACACACACACACACACACACACACACACCCCACGCACGCTCGCACTCCCCGCACGCACATGCACGCACGCATGCACGCCTGCACGCACGCCCCCCCACACACCCCACACACACACACACCCACGCCCGCTCGTACGCACCGCACACACGCACACATACACGCCACCGCACGCTCGCATGCCCACATGCACGCCTACCCACACACCCACACACACACACACACACACTCACGCACACGCAACGCATGCACTCTTGCACCCACACACTATTTAACTATTTATCTATTTAGGGTATTTAACTATTTATCTATTTATATATGTATCTATTTAACTATTTATATATTTAGTTATTTAACTATTTATCTATTTATCTATTTATCTATTTTACTAATTATCTATTTAACTATTTAACTATTTATCTATTTATCTATTTATTTATTTATTTATTTATTTAACTATTTATCCATTTAACTATTTGTCTATTTATCTATTTATCTATATATCTATATATCTATTTACCTATTTAACGATCTATCTATTTATTTAGATAACTATTTATCTAGTTAACTATTTATTCATTTATCTATTTATTTATTTATCTATTCAGCCACACACGCCCGCGCGCCGGCCCGCGCGCCCACGCACACACGCATACACGCCCTCCCACGCACGCACGCACACACGCCCACAGACGCACGCACAAACGCACGCACCCACACCCGCACACACGTACGCACACACACACACACACACACACACCCACATCCACACACCCACACACACCCACGCACGCCCGCCAGCATGCCCGCACGCACGCACATGCACGCACGCCCACACACACCCCCACCCACACACCCACACACACCCATGCTCGGCCGCCCGCACGCACGCACTCTTGCTCCCACGCACACACGCACACCTGCCCGCCCGCCTGCACGTCCACACTCACACACGCACGCACACACGCACGTACGCCCCCCCCCCCCCCCACACACCCACACACGCACGCACGCACACATGCATGCACGCACACACGCACGCACGCCCCCTCCCACACACCCACACACCCTCCCGGCCGCCCGGCCGGCCGGCCGCTCGCACGCACGCACGCACGCACGCACGCACGCACGCACGCACACACACACACACACACACACACACACACACACACACACACACACACACACACACACACACACACACACACACACACACACACACACACACACCCATGCCCACACACACACACACACACAGACACACACACACTGACACACACACACACACACACGCACGCACGCCCACCACACGTGCACACACACACAACCGCACCCACGCACTATTTAACTATTTATCTATTTAGTTATTTAACTATTTATCTATTTATATATGTATCTTTTTAACGATTTATCTATTTGGTTATTTAACTATTTATCTATTTATCTATTTATCTATTTAACTATTTATCTATTAACCCATTTATCTATATATCTATTTATTTGTTTATTTATTTATATATTTAACTATTTATGTATTTATC